CTTTGATAGTAGAATAGTAAAGATTTATAATTTATCGTGAAGAAATAAAGATGATCACAGAAAGTGTCGACAGCCTCTTTAATAGTGAATGTCGACAGGCTTTCTTGTAAATATTAGTGTCGGTAAGGTAGTTTTAAAGTTGTTGTCAGACTTTTATTTTGTTATTTTGTAAAAAAATCTTTCTTTAATATGATATGATGATTGGGTTCAGAAAGTGCACCCAACTCAGAAAAGAAATGATTCTTTAAAATGTTTGAAGTCCGTGTTTTGTGTTTGATCAAGTCTATAAATAGATGTTGTACCCATTTGTGAAAATCATGAGTAGCAATCTGGAAGAATATCTCAAGTTCAAATATATACAATGAGTCCGTACTGTTCTTTTGGTGTGTGAATTATATATCTTTTTTAATATTCAAAAGGCCATCTTGTTCATGCTCTTTCAGTTTTCTTAGAAGTTATTTTGGGGATTTCTGAAAAGGAAATCCTTCTCTTATCCAAGGTATTGAGTCTTCTTAAATTTCTAGTTATAATGTATATACTTTCCCTTTTTAGTTTCTCTTTCTGGTATATATTTTCTTTTTTTCCCCTTGTTAGTTTCTCGATATATTATGTTATGAGTAAGGTAGTCTTGCCCCGTTTGATATGCATCATTATTCACCAACCCTATACATTTAGGGATAGAATTCTTTAACACCAGTGTCAATCTTAACCGTTGATTTCTGTCAATTTGACAATTATAATTTGATGTCATATTTTTAATTGATATATATATATCATTGGCAGACCTACACAGTGGCGGACGCAGAATTTTTTTTTTATGTCTGCACACTTAGGGTGGGGGTTCGAGGTTAGCGCCCTTGAAGATTTGTTTTAAAGAGAATTTTAAAATTATAATTTAACTTAAATCAATTATACTCATTATGTTATTGAAACAATTACAACCTAAAAAACCAAAAGTAAATATCAATTATACTGTTTGTTGCTATTTAAACAGTTATAACAAATAAATAAATATAGAAAGTTACCTTTCATTGAGACTTCTCGAATTACTATGAACCCACAATTTTTTGTGCTCTCAATGTTTCAACATCATGATCCAATTTTTGCTTCCACTTCAAAAGTAAGGCTTTGGAGAATCAACCAAAGTTTAAAAGAAATAATCGATAATGATAATTAAAAAATAAATAAACACCACAAAAAGACATTTGTAAAATATAGTATAATTGTAGGGGTTAATTGATCAAAAATCCACCTCTGTCGATGTTTATTTGATCCAAAGTTGGCCACTTTTGCTTCATAAAAAAATGTGAAAGATCCCGTGCGATTCTCCTCCACTTGATGAAGATTGAATTTCAGGAATCATTGATGTCTATTAATGTTTGGAGCTAATAAGGTTTATGTTTCAAAAAAAGATGAAGAGACAAAGCAATGAGGTGGGGTTTAAGCTTTAAGCTTTTAATTATAGGGGTTGGTTGGGTTGAATCTATGTTTACTTTTTTTCTTTTCAATCTTCCTAAATCTTTTTTTTTTTACTTGACCTAAATCACCCACCACTTTGAAAAAAAATCTCAAACTTTTGTGGCAACAATGTGTCTGCCATTGGACCTACATGGTTGCCAATGTCAGCAAGTGCACACACATACAAAAAGAAATTTCATTTCAATAGCAAAGCTTGATATATGTGAATAGTTGGTGAGCCGTTTCTATTATTGCAGGATTTGCTATGTGAATAGCTCTAAATAGCATTTATTTATTTTTTAATAGCTTGAAATAACATTTACAAAAAATGAGATATGCGTGAAATAGCAAAGTTTGATATATGTAAATAATTTTCTTCTCTTCTTGTTTATATTTTTTTATTTTTTAATGTATTTTAAAATTGTGCCCCCAACCTCCGCCATTAAGTATACAGACATAATAAATTGTTTTGGATCCGCCACTTTTTTATATATATATATACATATATATATATATATATATAGAGAGAGAGAGGGGGTAGGATCCTTTGACATCGGTGTCAAATTTAAAATTTGACACCTTATCTGAGAGCCATTAGATAAAAAAAGATCAACGACTCTGATTTGTAAGCATGTGACACCATTGATCTTTTTTTATCTAATGACTCTCAGATGAGATGTCAAATTTTAAATTTGACACCGATGTCAAAAAATCCTACCTCATATATATATGGAAGATATATTATGGCTGATAAGAATCGTACCTTGCATTTCATTTAGTCTTGAATTTTGGGTTCATTAAGTCTTAGCATGAAGCTTAGCTTTATGATTAATGGGTAGATACATAATGAGCTTCAACCTTTTATTCAATATTTTGATGCAAAGATTCAAGAAGGACTTGTGAGATGATTTTTAAGAACAATGGTCAGTTGAAAACATACCGAGACTTATGTGTTGACTATGGCGATATTATAGAGAGAGACTTTTATTTGCCGAGATTATATAAGTTAGTTTGGTATTTTTTGTATGGCTTTAATATTTCTACAGTGAGATATAAATAAATTATCTATATTTGTTATCAAAATAATATTATTTTGAGTTGAAAAATAAAAAATTTATAATGAAAATACTATTATAACCTTGAAATAAATTATAATTACAAAAATACATTGATTTTGGCCCGAAAACGACGTTGTTTTGGGCTTAATATAGATAAATTATCTACATTGACAATAAAAAAACGATTTTTTTTTTTAAATTTCCAAAATACTTAATTTATTAATATTGGTAGTATTTCACACCATCATGAGTCGTCAAACTTATTAAGTGATATAATAATGTATTATTCGTATTACAAAAAAAAAAATAAAATGTATTATTCCATAATACTGTAAATTTTTCATATTGATAAGACATTAAAAATTAAACTAATATTAATAACATGTTAAAAGCATAGAAAATAAAAGAGATTTATCTGAAAATGTAGATTTATTTACAAGTACTTTTTTTTTTTTTTGGAGTTACCCAACCTTAATTATCTCTTTGAGACGAGTTGGCTCCCTCCGGTATCTCCACGAGCTTCGACTCTTTGAGCCGGCTATGAGACTAATCCGGAGTGCGGGGGAACAGTGATGGCTAAAGATTCAGCCCCCTCTCTAAGAATGCATTCAGCGGGAATCGAACACATATCCAACCCAGAAGAGGGCAATAACAATCTTATCATTATAAATATGATTTCACAAGGAGAAAAAAAAAAACTTAAAGCAATCAATTTTCGTTGTGAGTTAGGTTAAAATATAAACGAAAATACAAAGGAACGGGGCTATAGAAACGCGCCCTCCGCAGACGATTGACTTTGGTATTTGCCAACTTGTTCCTCAGGAGCTTCAACTTTGGACCCATGAGGAGTAGCCAAGTTTCGTTCCAATTAATAAATTCAATAATTGATTAGTGCCCACAAGGTCAACATTTTGGACTCACCTTTATTCTTTGTTCTTATCCCACTATCCAATGCATATCATGTCATATCATAATGTAGAGAAATAAAAAAAAGAATATGTCTCACAAGAGACGGATATTCCGTGCCCTCAGACATTCGCAAATAGTTATTTATCTTTATCCCACTAATATGAAGAACTTCCCCAATAGCATACACACCGTTAGATGAGTCTGACTGCACGGGTCTCATAATAGGACTACCTAGATCTACATACATCAAACGATGCATAATAAAATCCAAAAGAACTAAATATTAAATTAAGTGTAATGAAAAACAGGCCATTGGTACACATTTAATTTCAAAATCTTATCACATAAAATTTTCCATTATCTACTCAAATGGCTCAAATACAGTTTTCCTGATTTACTGATCATGAAAATATATATTTTTAATAAAATCTTCATTAGAATTTATAAGGATCGACATCAGATTCATGCATTGCTCAATTACCTATAAATTATACTCGTAACGAACAATATTTATAAATATAGTGATTTTATGGATTTCTTTCTTTCTTTTTTTCCTTAAAAAAATATTGTTTTTTTTTTTAAAAAAAAAATATTTTAGATGCAATTTTGAAAAAATAAAATAATATCTTTTTTAAGTTAAAATAAGTTTTATCAGAACGGGATCGAACCGGCCAATTCAACTGAAAACTGGATCCACTTTTGTATTTTTATGCAAAATATTAAAAGCATTACACTTATTTTTCATAAGATTATAAATTTGATGCCATTATTGTACTTTGAAAAAAACTAAAAAAAAGGTTAATGCAATACCTCTGAAATCTAATTTTATTCTCAATTCAAGACCTAAGCATGAATGTTTTCATTTATATATATATATATATATATATATATATATATATATATATTTAGTAATTTTATACATAAATTTTGTTATTTTAATATTCAAACTATATTTTTATTTAATATTCTAATGCAAATTAGTTTAACTTTTAAAAAAAGTATTCTAATTTATTTTTTCAAAAGCTCATCCAAACAAACTCAATTGTCTGCATTATATTTATTTAAAATTCAAAAGCACGATAAATATCAAACTAACAAAAAAAAAATCCCAACAAACGTGTAATATTGATAATCATTTAATTTCAGCATATTATAACTAAAAATTTCCATTATCTACTAAAATGGTTCAAATACGGTTTTCTTGATTAAAAGATCATGAAAATATACAACTTCAAATATAAATTTCAACAAAATCTTCATTAGAATTGATAAGGATCAATATTAGTATTAGATTCAAATATAAATTTCAACAAAATCTTCATAAGAATTGATAAGGAAACATACCCAATCACGAATAAATTGTACTTTCACGAGGAAACTAGTACCGAACAAGATTTCAAAATAAATTCCCATGACAAAATTTAAGTTGCAATATGCTATAGATCATGTTAAATCTAAACTATCTTGGATTTGAATTCATTATCAATATCAAGAAACAACAAAAGTAGTAAAAGTAAAATTAGTATCAGATTAGGACTATGGAGAAAAATCGGAAACTATTTTTGGAATCTAAATATCAGGAATTTCACCGTCCCATGGACTCTCTTTCTATAAAAGCTCACCACCTCTGTTCCTCCCGAATCTCCCTCACCCTCTCACAAACTCTTTGCGGCCATACCTTTTCTTGCTTCCTATAATTTTCCAATTATATTAGATTTCTTTGTTCAGAGACAAACAACAACTTCAACCATGCTTGTCTACCAGGATCTTCTTACAGGTAAAGCTTTCATCTTAAACACTTTTTCTTTGATGGGATTGTTGTTACTTTGATGAACTCTTAAAACATGTTCCTTGAAGTGAATTAATTCTGTGTGTTATGTTTTGTAAGCACATGTATTTAACTTTAATCTAATCTTTTGCAAACGGGTAACTATATCGTTGTCCAGATAAGATTTTGTTTATGCCACAACTGTGATTTAAAATAGTAGAGTTTGCTGTCCCAAGAATCAAAGAATTTTGAAGGTTTTTAACAAAATATAGATTTAAGTGAGCAACCTATCCTTAGGCCTCACTTGGTTTTGGTTTTTTTTGTTATTCTGGTTGCTAGCTAGGGATAGTGCTAATATTTAAGATTTAAGTAATTAATTAAATACTGTTGATCTGATGATAATCTTCAATTGCTTGAACTTATGAATTTCGGTTTGTTGATGAATTTTTAGGTGATGAACTTCTCTCTGACTCGTTTCCTTACAAGGAAATCGAGAATGGAATGCTGTGGGAAGTGGATGGAAAGGTTGGGGAATGATTTGTATAATTTGGAATCTCTGTTTTTTTTTTGTTTTTTTTGTTTTTTTTTTTTGGCATGCTTTATTTTTCATGTTTGGTTCACCCAAAAATCTTACGTGTCTTGGTACCCTGAAATTTATTATGTTTTGGCAGTGGGTTGTTCAAGGAGCACTCAATGTAGATATTGGTGCTAACCCTTCTGCAGAAGGTGGAGAGGAGGATGAGGGTGTTGATGATCAAGCTGTTAAAGTAGTTGATATTGTTGACACTTTTAGGCTTCAGGTAAGGAGGGTTTCTTCTCTCTTGTCAATAATGTGTTTACTTCATTGTTACGTAATAAAATATAAAGTATTAAAAAGACCATCACCTATTACCTTAACGTTTCGGGTTGAAGTGGTTCTTTATTTGGTATAAGATTGCGAGTTCGATTTTCACCGCCCCTCACTCTCAGGTGGAATTAAGAAAAGCACAAGGTAGACCAAAGAAATGAGCTTGTGCAGTACAAGGCACACCAAAAATGGGCTTGTGCCATATCCACGCTTCAAGCCCAAATGCCTGTTGCGTGAGGAGTGTGTTAGAGAATAAAATATAAAGTATTAATTGGTTTTGAGTTGAATTGGGTTTTGGGTTCATCGCTGCAGTATAAATAATTTTTAATTTTAATTTTCAGGAGCAACCAGCTTTTGATAAGAAGCAATTTGTTACTTATATGAAGAGATATATTAAGTTGCTGACACCAAAATTAGAGCCAGAGAAGCAAGACTTGTTTAAGAAGAACATCGAGGGAGCAACTAAGTTCCTACTCTCGAAGCTCAGTGACCTTCAATTGTATGTGTTTCATTGTTTTTCATCTTTGGTCTTATTCGGTTTATTTTGTTAATCCTTTACTATTTAGTCACTTTCTTTATGCATTAAATAATAATCCCTCACTGGTTGAATATCAATGTGGCAGTTTTGTGGGGGAGAGTATGCACGATGATGGCACTCTTGTGTTTGCTTACTACAAGGAAGGTGCTACTGATCCAACTTTTATCTACTTTGCATATGGGTTGAAGGAAATCAAGTGCTGAGCACATGGCTTCAGGCTTTGAGACCGCACTGGCAGACCCTGTAGTTGTGTGATATTTGAGCTGAAAAACTCTTTTCTTAATTTTTAGTCCTTGTGTTTCTAAATTTTCATTAGTTCAGTATGTTATTAGACGAGGTTGTTTCAGGAGTTTTCTTTTCTTGTGTTTTTTTTTTTAATTTGTTATTTGAGGAGCTTGTTATCATATGACAATTGAACCGAGTAATGTGTTTTAGTTATGTCTTTGTGGTTCTATTTGCCAATTTAATAATGTTCTTTTGATCAATTCATTTAAATAAGGGTTTCTCTACCTTTAAACTAGTCTAATTATACTGCCGCAAGCAGGGCTGTGCGTGGGTAAGCTCGGGTCAGAGTTTTATCTGACTCGACCCAACTTGGTTTTTATAGGTCAGGTATTTTGACCCGATCCGCTTTAATTTGATCCAGGTCAGGTCTGACTTGGTTTAGATTTTGTTGAACTAGTTCAGAACTGGATCGGATCAGACCTGACTTGGTTTCTGAAATGGGTCAAATCTGACCTGACCCGTTTTTGACTTGGTTTCCTCACAAAATTTCGTTGAAATTTCTACATTGCAAATGATGAGAATTTCGTCACAAAATTATTTTTTCGTCGGAATATTTTTTGTCGAAAAGCAACGAAATTTTTTCTCAAATGAAAATTTTTATAAAAATAAATTTTCTATCAAAATTTAGTTTCCGTCAAAAGTTTTGACGAAAATGATTTCTTCCATCAAATGTTTTTAACGAAAAAAAAATTCTATCAAAAATTCTGACGAAATGTTTTTCGTTCAAAATTTCGATGGGAATGTGTTCTGACGAAAATTTCAACGGAAATTGTTTCAAGAAAAATGTTTCATTCGAAATTTTCGACGAAATTTAAATTCTCTAAAGAATTTTGACAGAATATTTTTTCCATCAACATTTTTTATCGAAATTTTTTTTTTACAGAAATGTGTTTTGTAGAAATTTTTGATGGAAATATTTTTTATCAAAAAACTTGACGAAAATATTTAGTTGAAAATTTTCGATGGAAATATGTTTCGCCAAAAACAAATTTTTTGTCAAAAAGTTTAACGTAAAAAAAAAAAAATTTGATGAAATTTTTTATGAATATATTTTTTTGTAAAATATTTTGACGAAATTTAAATTCTATAAAAAATTTTGACACAAAAAATATTCCGTCAAATTTTTTTACAGAAATGTTATTAGTCACAAATTTTGATGAAAATATTTTTCGTCAAAAAATTTTGTGAAATTTTTTTATGGAAATATTTTTTGTAAAAAATTTTGACGTAATTGTTTTACGTTAAAACTTTTCTTTTAATGTAACTGTGATTTTCTTTTTTCTTCACATAATGGGTATGAGTCAAGTTTTGGGTCAATAGGTCAATATTAAAACAAGTCAGGTCTAAAACTGACCCAAATAAAAGTGGGTCAGTATTTAAATCAGTTCAAAAAATATAGATATTTATGAGTCAGGTCAAGGTCGGGTCAAAGGCAGGACAGGCGAATCAATTTTTTTGCACACCCCTAGCTGCAAGTCTTCCCATGCAAATCACCTTGCTTGAGTCCTCGGTTTATTGGGCGAGAAATAGAAAACCGTGAAAGTGTTTGAATACAAAGATCATGATGAATTCCGCGAAAACGTAATTAAGTAAACAATTTAGGCAACACAAATGTTTTTTAAAACTAAAATTCACAACTCGATGCAAGTGTCACCTCTAAAACATTTGGCGAGGGTCAGCCATGAACCAAAGAATTGTTTGTCACGGTATTGTGTCTTATTTTCAGCTTATTCGCTATTTGAAAGGAGAAGTTTAACTAAATATTTCAAGAGTTCTTTTAAAAAAGTATTTTATAATTTAAGAAAAAAACTTATTTCTCCTTCCATCTTTTCATATTAACACGATGGAACACGAGATTATATTTAGTGCTATTGAGCATTTTGGATTAGCAAACGCCCAATTTGGAATTAAGCCAAAAATAAAAAATAAAAAAATTCCTGTGAATCATGCTCCTATCATCTTCAGCACTCGCTTTTGAATATAATATATACATTCTCAGCCCAAAAAAGTATTAGTTTCAAACTTCCAAGAAATTTGAAGGGTGCTGTAACTGCAATCAGCACAGTTGCTCGATCTCATGCAACCAACTTTTCAAATAGCCCACGGGTTAGAATCATGTCTCGGTATCAACCCATGAAAATAGAATGGTAACTGTTTCATGAGTCTCTACTCTATTCAACGTAAAGAATCGAGAAGCCAGGTCCACAGCACTTAAAAATAGCAAGCAGATAAAATTTCTATTACTACTACGAAATTGACGACCAAATTATGTGCTTTTAAAAGATGATGATTCTGGCGAGCTATAGGTTACGAATGATATGATTAAGAGTAAAAATTGCAAAAATTAAAAATATAAATAGCAAACAAATGTCAAACATCAAATTAGGTTTTCCATTGGCTTCAGATGTCTCTTAACATTTGTGAACTGAAAAATAGCTTGTTCCAGAATCCATCCTATGCATAATAATTCAGGCTCGCTTTCTTCTTTGCTTGGACTTGAATAATACCTTCATTAAAGTCCTCATGGTTCACCTACAATTGGAACAAAAACAGAACTAATGAAATATTCCCACAGCAACAGGTAAAAATATAAAACAAATTCCAAGTTGGTCTAATGTTTGGCACTGACTTGAACCAGCAAATCAAAAAAGAAATTGGCCATATCTATGGCAAAAAAATTCTTAATCGCTCATACCACTATTAATGGCCAGCTAAAAGCTATGCTTATATATTTCATAAGATTATGTTGGGGTTTATAAGAAAAGCAGAGACCTTAACAAACAAAATAAAAGCTCCAAATAGAAATGTCAACCCAGTAACATCCCGTTGGACAAATGGTGATGTTTAAATTATTTAAGTTGTTGCACATGTGGAAGAAAACAAACCTCAGTTGCATCACGGCGTAGGGCCAACATGCCAGCCTCAACACATACAGCCTTCAGTTGTGCCCCATTGAAATCATCTGTGGACCGAGCTAGTTCTTCAAAGTTAACATCCGGGTGAACATTCATTTTCCTTGAATGGATCTAAAATATCAATGCCACAGCAATCAGTAAATGTTCTGTTAAAAAAAAAAAAAATGTCAGTAGGTAAAAGTTTGAAGATACCAAACCTGCAGAATTCGAGCTCTTGCTTCCTCAGTTGGGTGAGGAAACTCAATTTTACGATCCAACCGACCAGAACGCATGAGGGCAGGGTCAAGAATATCTGCACGGTTTGTTGCTGCTATCACCTGCAATTTACAAGAATAAATAAAAATGTCCCTTCAATCCAATACATTTGGTGCCAACTTCTAATCTAATTAATCACTACTCAAGTTGTTACAAATGTAAGTTATAAAAAGTTATGGGACCAGCCCCAAAGACACGGGATTTATGCTTATAACCCAAAAACAGCAAACATATTTGAAGCTTACTTTTATTGCATCAATAAGAAAAAGAGGCACTAGATAAGAAGAATTGAAAACAAACCTTAATCCGGTCATCACTACTAAAACCATCAAGCTGATTGAGCAATTCTAACATTGTTCGCTGTACCTCCCTGTCTCCGCTTACTTCACTGCAATCAACCACAAGATAAATGTACATCATAAGGTTGCCGAGCCACTATACTTGAAGGAAGAAAAACTCCCTCTACCGCAAAAGGAAAAAAAAAAGGGCAATCGCAAATGTAGATCTAAATCCTGCCTGCTAATACCTATCAAAACGCTTTGTACCAATTGCATCAATTTCATCTATAAATATAATGCATGGTGACTTCTCTTTTGCTAGTTGAAAGGCATCACGAACAAGTTTTGCACCATCTCCTATGAACATCTGTATAAAATTCAAGGTTAGATCATCCGAATCCCAACTCAGTACAGAGACACGAATACACACAATAAAGGAAGTAGCGCAAATGAAATAGAGGAAACAAGTCTGACTGACAATTAAGATGTGTTGGATAGATAGGAAAACATCAGAATCAGATACTATTAACCAAACATGTCTGTATTCAGAATATTAAAATGTAATATAAGAAATAAATAATAAATAATACATGTACAATCAACAAGTGTCATTGACATACACCACAAGTAAATTGTTAGCCAAAAAAGGCTGAAGGATAATGAAAAATCTGGCCCTAGTGAAGTTAAAAATCAGCTAAGTTAAAAATACCAACTATTCAGTTGTATTAGGAAAAGATGTGAGAAAAAATGTCACAAACAAGTAACAATGAAATCATTAGCCATGCTTAGAAATATAAAAAAGGAGAAAAACAAATAGAAATAGATTGTCATACCTGGACCAACTGAGGGCCTGCCAACTTAAGAAAAGTGGCATTTGTCTGTGCTGCACAGGCACGGGCCATTAATGTTTTCCCAGTCCCTGGAGGTCCATATAAGAGCACTCCCTTGGGAGGACGAACTCCTAACTTTTGGAAACGCTCCTTGTGGGTCATTGGCAAAACAATAGCTTCAACTAATTCTTGGATCTGTTGATAAAAACCAAGTTAACGATCAGAGAGATCCTGTTACCTTACCATCAAATTAACAAAATTGCTTGAATAAATTATGGCAAAAATTAAAGCTCACCTGCTTCTCTAATCCACCAATGTCATTGTAATCCTCTGTTGGCTTTTCATCAACTTCCATGGCCTTAACTCTAGAATCATACTCAGAAGGCAGGGTATCCAAGATTAAGTAACTATCTTTGTTTACACCAACTAGATCACCGGGTTTTAACTTGTCAGGGTCAACGAGCCCAACAACTGGAAGAAAGATTGTCTGCAGTCAAAAGAAAACATTAATAAGTTTACTATTGCTGCATGTCGCATGAAGAGCTTTTCTTCGCTACCTAACAATGAATATATTGATTTTAACTAGAGCCCAATAAAAGAAAAGCAAAATAAATAAATAAATAAATAAAATTACAAATAAGAAACAATTACAAATATGAAAACATATCTGCCACCCAAACCCTCGCCAATAATATGAAATCATCGTCTATGTCACCTGTCGAGTAGATGTCTTTAGCACGACACATTTCCCCTTCCTTTGTGAGTCAAGATCAATATTGGCACCATCTTCTTCCGCTTCATCTTCTGGGTTCATTTCCAATATCTAGATACAAAAAATTATCATGTCAGAATCCGAGAAGAATGTAGAACATCAGGTATGACGGGGGTAAAACCAAGAAACAACCTCTGCCACCAAGAAGATTCAGAATTCGAAGTTTAAACTTCCCAAAAGAACTCCAAAAAGTATAAAACAGCTAAAATAGATATGTACATGAGTAATGGTAGAGAGCAGCACTAGCGTGAACAAGAAATTCATTAACATATAATCGCTACAGAGTAGAAAAAAATAACATAGACATACAGCAACTAGAAGCAGTAATAGTAACCTACCTCAACAATGTTTCCAACAAGGTACGGCAACTGCTTATTGAGCTTAATCTTTTCCTGATTCTCTTTGATCTTCTCCTTGAACGATTCCAATTCCAGATTCGTCCTCTGCGACTCTTCCTTCATCCACAATAAACAATTCAACCAAAATAAGAAGCAACGAAATCAGGGAAACCCTAAACGGAGCAGCATAGGTAGATAGTGTAATCGGGAGCAGAACACGATAATGTACACAAGTAGGAAAGTGAAAATAGAAAAGAGAGAAGAGACCTTGAGGATGCGAATCTCGTTGTCGAGAAGACGAGAAGCTCTGACGATGTCGTCGGTGGTCATATTCGCAAGTTGATCTTCTTCGAAGGTCGTATCCTCTACTACCATGGCGCTCGCCATATTAATCACGCCTTTCAGATGAACCGAATGGATTCAACAATCACAAATCAGGGAAAGAAAGATAAACAGAGAACCAACACAGCAAAACCCCAACAACCTGCAAGTGCAGCAAGTGTTTTGAATAATAGATAGATCTTCTCAATACTTTGTTTATGAATTAATGGGGATAATATGGTAAATAAAGTTTCCTCTTAATTTTCTAGGTGTATAATTAATTACCACAGAGTTTATGGGCCGTATCATAGTGGCTAAACTATTTTGGGTTTCAAAATGCCTAAATATTGGCCCAAACCACACCGATTTCACTGGATAGACCAATATTGTTAAAATCGAGATCTTAAATAAAATCGAGAGGGATTAAAAAATCATAAAACGTAAAATTATAATGTAAAAAAATCATAAAAACGTAAAAGCATTTGAAATTTAGTAAAATCGTTTTGATAAAAAAAAAACATAAAAACATAAAATTGTACTAATAAATCAAGATTTTAACAACAATGGGGTAGACCTGCCCTTCAAGTGTCAACTGGGTTGCATGCAGATCTAAATTTTAACTTATTTATTTTTTACAAAAAAAATTGAATTTACACGACCAAATTTTGTTTTTCTAATTTAAGAGAGAAAAATGTTTGACCTCTAAAAAAGTATAGAATTGTATTATTTTAATTAAAATTACAATATTTTTGGGTGAAAAAAATAATTACGCAATAAGATATCATGGGGGGAGAATGATAAGTAATTGAAAGATTTTTTTTAATTCAAATATTAAGTAAAAGGAAAAAATATTTATCATTTTAAATGATATAATTTTATGTCATTTTAGATGAAACGATATCGTTTTGGTAAATATTTGGTGATTTTTACATTTTCTCTTTCATAAAATTAGAATAGAGAGAAAATGGAGGAGGGAGATGGTAAAAAAATCACCAATTAACATCAAAACGACGTCGTTTCATCTAAAATGATATACAATTGTGTCATTTAAAATAACAAAGTTGTGCCATTTAAAATGAAAAATATTTTTTTTCTAAGTAAAATATTATTATTTTACTTAAAATGACATAACTCTACATATTTTTAAAAGACAAATATTTTTCCCTTTCAAAAAAAAGTTAAATTTAAAATAAAATTTGTTTACCGATTTAAAACGTTTACTTCTTATATGCAGAAATGCCGAAAACAACCAGCAATCCATTGTCGTCCAGCGGTTAGGATATCTGGCTTTCACCCAGGAGACCCGGGTTCGATTCCCGGCAATGGAATTTTTTTTTGTCCAGTGCTTTTATGAAAAGCAACTTCAATCTTTCATTTTGATTACCTCTAACCGAGTAAAGCAATGATATATATTCATAGCCATAAGTAAAATTAAATTGAAAGTCGAGCAAGACGTGATTTGCAACAATTTTTTTATTTTTTATTTTTCTTTATGAGTGATCAAATACGTAAAAAACAAAGAGCATATTTGCATCAATTGCGTATATTAATTTGGTACTAGAAAACCGACAATCCACATGGTATCAATGACTAAATACAATGATCACAAAGAATCACTGGCTGAATTCATCTGATCCTCTGTGCTTCGCAAATAAAACGTCCATGAGCTCCGCTGGGCCTTGGACTGGTTTGTGTCAGCTAACACTTCAGTTTTACCTATAACATTTGTTTTGAGTACCCGTAGAACGATCAAAACCTCCTCCCAAAATAAAAGGGCCTGAAACAAGTAACCAACGAGGTAGCATAACAAAATTTCAGATAAAATCCCACACCACCAAGATGAGTTATACTTTGTCTCAAAGTATCCTAATATTTTTTTAAAATACTAACATGCCAACGAAAACTATTGTTAGATAGAATCATTGACCAAGGAAACAATGATACCAATAAGTGTCTTTGATGATTAAAAAAAAGTTCATTATAGCAGGCAGTTTTTATCTCTATTATGTAAATAAATGAGAAATTCCGGATTTTAAGCTTATTCCAAGAAATACCAAATGAGTTATGTAATAAATCCTAAACTAAATAAAATGCAAATATTTGGGGGAGTTACCAAGCTTTAAATCTTAAATGTTTGGTAATCACTTGAACTTTGAAAAACTGGTTCTTATTAATTAATTAATTCTTAAGTCAAACCTAGTTCAGAAGAAATTCATCACTGCAAATATACAACAAATTATTCTACATTGTGCAAATAGAGATGAGGAAAAGATGAATTCACTTACAATGACATGATACATATCCACAAAGGAGGAACTAAAATCCATCCATAACTTTGATGCCAGCACCCTTGTCCCATTCCTCTGGAGCAGCAACATCAGCCATCACCTTCTCCTGGCCACGCCAAAGAATCTGGAAATAGTATTCCAATATTGGTTTAGTCAGCATGCATGTTCGAGAGCATTGATGGAAGAAGACAGGCCACTGACGCAATGTCAATAAGAACTTACTTTGTCAATGACCCCAAAATCCTTAGCCGTTGTTGAATCCATGTAGAATGGTCTCTTCATCACATTAGCAACAGTCTCCTCTGACTAATAATTGAAAAAGAATTCACATAACAAAATCATAAGATTCTGCCTCATCTTTCCTGAATAAATCTAGTACCGATGTGTGATACTCACATTTCCGGTGTGCTTGGCTAGCAGTTTAACAAGATTGTCCCTGTTTGCTATCACCTGCAAAAAAATTGAGCAGACATAGATGTTTCAAACGTGTAATTAAAAATTGTCTAGGAAAAAGATGCTACAATAAAAGAGCATAAAGATCAGGGGAGAGGAAGGACGAAAAGAAAGGCATTCCGATTGACGCTAGCAACTGATTAAAGAAATTTAAATCTGAAAAGAGAGAAAGGGAGAACAAAAGAATACTTCCAAATGTTTACAACAAATCTGCAACTAAGGAATTCCATCAAGAATTTGTATCAAAATATTTGAAGTGAAATGAAGTATGAGACTATCAAACTCTAATTACAACTGTAAAAGCTTTATCATGAACTAATTTTTCTCATAAAACTCTTGTCAATAAGAAAATCAATTCTAGAAAGATAGCAAATATGTGTGGCAGTATTACATACCAATCACCGGATGATAGTAACATGGGAAAAGGAAACGCCAGCTAAGATTGTCATTCCAAAAGATGTAAGAAATGCAACATGACAAAAACAAATTTGACCAACCTCCTTTGCACGAATAAGAACATCACTCGCTGGCATCAAACCGGATGATGGAACACGAGGCTGCTGAATCATGGCTGCAACAGTATTCAACATAACAGTTTCACATTTGTTAAGGATTCTGGTACAAAATCCACAAGCTTGTAAACATGGACAACACCATACCTTTGGCATGAGGCATCATAAAGCGTTTACCCGGAGTCCCTGCAGCAAGTAGCAGACAGGCTTGACCTATAGCAGCTCCAACAGCCACTGTGTGTATCTGCTTGGGAAGCAAAAACCAAAGACTTGAAAAAAGATATATTCAAATATGACTGCAGATAAAAAGCCAAAACTTAGAAATGGGTCAGGATTTGAATTCATTCTGAGAAAGAAAATAGTAACTCACAATCCATAAACTTACTCAGATAAATTCAAATCCAGAAATGCTAAGCCATTCGAAAATAAAACTTGGATCGTGCTTCATTAAATAAATGAATGAAATTATAAAATGTACCATACTACTATCACCGTCAAGCATAAATTGTCAATACAACACCCCAACAGTTTCTTTCGTAATTTACAATCCCCATACTTGCATACTTCTTTTTCTTCTTAACAATTTCTAAATTCCCGTAACCTACCACAATTATGTCTCATTATATTAATACCATCATCAATATAAACAATCAGATATACAAATATATGATCATATGATGTTTGATTTCAACGACAAGACAAACCTCATTTTTTAACTGCATCATTGCATCATAAATGGCAAAACCTTCAGTCTCCATCCCTACCTGAACGCAAGAATTTGAAAAGCAGGGGAGGGTAAGAAAGTAGGGAAATCATGTAGGCAGCTCAATAGATTATCCTAAATTGTACATATCTAAACAACACCAAAAATATGTCTACACTATATACTATATAAACATATATGACACAAAAAGCAAGCAGAAAGGCATTCAAAGCTTACGGTTTCACCATCATCACGAGTAGTCCCGGTGGAATTGATGTAAATATATATTGGTTGTTTGGGATCCATCCACTGCAGGTACATCAACTCTGCAACAACAAGCTCTGTAACTGCAGGCACCAACTGAGAGGTAAAAAAAAAAAAAGTCATAATAAACAGCAGAATTGGCATCAAAAGCAAGATCATAAAAACCTGCAACTGTAATCAATGGAAAGAACACATGCTGTAAACATATTATAGACAAACTTACAGGCATGCCGATGTAAACAATTCTACCATGGAGAAGCAACGAAGGCAGGTCAGGTGGAGGCCTTCTAGGACGGTGTTCATTGTATGAAACAGACTTTTCGACCTAATTCAATCACACGATTTTGTTACAGCAACACAGAGAAAGAGTAAATTAAATTTACCCCCAAAAAACATTAATTCATAAATTTTCCAATCCCTTTCAGATTTTGTTAATATATAAGTACTTAGCAAACAAACATTTCATTTCCATGCGAAAGAGATTGAGTATTTACTCAAAAACAAAACATGGCGAAAAGTTGAAAGATGAGTAATATTACTTGGGCGGGAGTAGCCATGAGCTTTGGGGCATCGAAAATGTCCAAATAAGGAAGGGTATCAGATTCAGAGTTCACGGGACGGTTGAGCAACGTTTCCGGAGAGGTGGCAGCAACAGAAGCAAGCTTCGCGAGAAAGGGGTCTTTAGGGTTTATTGGTGGTACGGGAATTTTCACTCTGCTTCTGGAAGAGCAAAACGCCCTTATATTTCTTCTTCCGGAGGATTGTAACTGTGAGGAACTAGAAGCAGTGACCATTGGTACCCGCAAACATGAAGCCATGTTTCTGCAAATTCCGTGGTTCAATACTTCACTGGAGCGCACAAGTGAACTGAATGAATAAACTTCATAAGTGCGTGAATCTTTTTTTTTTTTTTGGTAAATTCGTGAATCCATTTTTTAATTAAATTGGATCAAACGGAAATGATATATTTACCACAAAAAAAAGTTTATAACATTTATAATTAATTTAATTATCGTTGATTTTTGTCAATCTAACAATTATAATTTATTGTAAACTTTTTTTTTATGATAAATATATCATGCCCCAAACCGGTAGAAAATTTTCACTTTAGATGAATTTTTAATTCACTGTACATATGGTAAGAATTAAATTAGTCATGTTTGATTGTGTTTTGATTTATTTATTTTTTAAAATTATTTTGTTAATAATTAATGAAACGGGTGTTTTTGGTGTTTTTCTTGTTTTGAAACTTAAAAATCAAAACACAAAATAAAACCAATTCATACATGTTCTCTTAAATTGATTTTAAAATCCAAAAAATAGATATGATTTTTTAAACTATTTTTATAAAATAGGTCTCATCAAATCGATTTTTTTATATTTTTGTTTTGAAAATCAAAAAAATGTTTTCAAAAACAGTAATCAAACAAGCCTTCCCCTAATAACTATTTCTTCTCACTTTGCTACTGTTGTAACGAGTGTGGTAACATTATTTTGGCCACGATTATTTTTATCATTAGCCACATTTATAATGTGGCTAATTTGTAGGGAGAGAATAAAAAAAACACATTTCTACTTTTTTTATAATATGTCTCTACCCAAATTCTAGGTGTTTTTTATTTTTTAAAAAACATGAGTCAGGGATCTAATAGTAATCTTTAAAAAGTGACACTTGCATGCATATTGCTGTACACAATTTATATACTATTGAAGAATAGTTGTTGCTGAAATAAATAAATAAATAAAAAGTACTATTTTCTTGTCAAATTCAGCACAAACTATGAATAATAATTCTACGATAGAATCCTATATCATTTCTTGTGTAAAAGTCGTGTGAGTTAGCATGTTGAATTGCACTTAGGAACTTTAAAAGAACTTGATGGAAGCACTAATACTTGAAACATTAATAATAAAATTTCAATTATGCTGTTACAAGAATGCATACAAGTGTAAAAATCATGTGACTTCGATTGCTGAAGAGATTAAAAATATTTTATCCAACATGATGATGCTCTGCCATCAAAACAACATGCTTATTAATTAGGTTTTAGGTTTTAAAAAGCTAAAGAGATGATTGAAAGTACGTCTGATTCGCTCTCCAATCTAAGTTTGCTAACCAGAGACTTCAATAGCAACCAAACTGTCATCCTTCAATCTCTGAAAGGTTACAAAGTCAAAAAAGGTTACAAAGTCAAAAAAGAAATGATGAGTTTGCAACTCCAAATCATCATTTCTTCCGTATGCTACAAACCTTTTTCTCTTTAAGGAATTTAAAGCAAGTCTCTTAACAAATGTCCAGCGTAATCTGCAGTTGTACTCAGTTGTTTTTCAATGTCCCGAAATCAAAGTTTACTTATTATATCTCGAAGCAATATTATGCATATTGCCTGCCAGGTAAGATCATGGGCATGAACATCAGAACATGCATGCAATTGTAAAACAAAGCTTCAGAATTGAATACCATACAAAGAAAGTCAGAGGCAATGCTAAACTAATCAAATATTTCCGGTGCCTACCGGTTCCATGAAACAAGGAATGGATAACAATAATGCCGAAAACGCATAGAAAAGTGGCTAAACAGAAAGTTGAGATTTTTACAAAAAAGTAACCATCCGGTTCTCAATTTCTATATTCTCAAATAACAAAATTCAACTCCTAAAACAAGGGTCATAAGCATCCTTTTATAGACTAATTACAAATTGATTCAAAATTCAAAATTCAAAATTCTAAAATCCTAAAAATAAGGAAAATTCCTAAATTAAACATAACGACAACTAACCTCTAAAAATAAATAAATAATTACAATTAAATCATTCAAAATACTTCCTAAATCTTATATCTCAAATCATGTCAAATGTGTTGCTCACCTTTTCTTGTCAAACAAATCACAATCATATCTGATGCTTCATTTAGACTTGGGTTTGATTGTAATTTGTTATATTTTAAATTACTGCTTCTTTTAACAATTTGGTCATATTTATTGGGCCACAATTCTGGTTGACTCTGGACTTCCTGAATCAATAGTTGGGTCACGTGCAATGGACCAACTGTAATTGCATCACATGGCCCAAATGTAAGTGCATCAAACACCCCTTTTCAGTAAAGAGCAAAGCACTTGCTGCATAATGTAACAACCGTTGCTTTAGACCAGATTCATATATTAAGCTGCAAAAGCATTGGTTGATAGTGCAGGGTAAATTAATTTAGAATTTCATTATTAATTATAAGAAAATAACAACATTATAAAACTAGTTGAAGAAAAACGTAATCCTCTAAGAAGTAAAAACATTTCCCACATGCCATCAAATTCTTTTACTGGAAGAGTCCATTCATTGAAGCTAGAAGACTGACCATCAGAGCTTATATCCTCACATGGTCCTTCCTCGCTAAGCTGACAAAGCAAACTTCAGAAAATATTCATGAAGTTCTGAGCTGCACTTCAACTGAAAATAGAACAGGAGAAAGAGTTTTCAGAGTCTAGACTAAAGAGACGAGTACACATTGAGGTAATGTGATACTGATATATAATGAAAAATTGCATCGTTAACAACTTAGATGGTTCTTTCACTAATATATGCTAAGATCATTTGACCAAGTTATAAGAATAAAACAAACAGAACAGAAGATATCATAGGGCCATATATTCATTGAATGTACTAGTCGAACAAAGATAAGGCAACCAAGGAAAACTGAGATTGAGATCTATACATAGTCAATAAAACCAAGTCAGTAGAATCACCTTAAAGACGTGTACAACAGGCTTGACTTGCCAGAACAAAAGAATGTTATCATTGTGCGTCCCTTCATATACAAAAAAAAGTATCTTACCACCATCAGAATAAGAGATGCAGAAATAGATCTCTCTCTCTAGGGAATGATTGCTTCGAAAGTTCAAGAGGCAAATTCCATTATTCTTGTCCTTTTAACACCAGTTTTCCATTTTGTTATGTTCAGACACTCAACTCACTTCACTAACTTACAAGTGAATATATATATATATATATATATATATATATAGGGTTTATTAATTGTTGGAGGTTAAGAGTTTGAGAGAGAAGGGTTCAGAGGTGCTTAAAGTATTACACCTTGAGACATCAAAGTTTGGAATGCTCAACAGTGTTACCTCCAGCTTAGGAAACCCTAGATATAATACAAGCTATTGGGCTCCAGCCCATATGGACCCAAATAACCATGCTTTCACCTATTGGGCTTATATGTGAACATACTATTATTGATTATACTATTAATATATCCAACAATCTCCTCCTATGTTCACCATATAACACAATCCAATAGAGTGATCAATATAATGTTCAAACAAATATGAATCATTCATATCCAGTCCAAGACAATTAACTCGGATCAATCAAATAGTTTTAATGGTTAAATATTAAACTTAATCGTCATTTTCAATCTAAATAAATAAATCATCATTATCATGAATCTGTTCTGAGACCAACATACCAAAGTAAATATTTAGAGTTTTAGATTAAATCTAAACTCATCAAAATCCCAACATCCAAAAGAAGTCTCAAAATCAGTTCTCAATCAACAATGTTCATAAATTAAAGATAGCAAAATGTAAGTCTCAAATAAATGGACTCCATCAAAATGGGCAATAGCGGGTGAACTATCAAGTCCCCACATACTCTAAATGATATATTCATTCATCAAGGAGGTGATCTTAGTCAAGATCCCTCTCATTAAGCTCTCCTCCATCTCTGCCATCCTCTGTAGAATATCAAGTATGAATTTCATATTATTATGAATTCAATCAGTTGACTAATCTACCAAAGATGTCTAGTTCTACTAAAAGGACTTAGCATCATATCATCAGGCAAAGAAGAACATATATTAATGTCATAAAGCATCGCAATATTATGTTCATAAGCATTAAGCCAGTTTCATAAATTATGAACAAGGCCTAAAAAGTTTATTTTGCAAAGAGCCATCAACTTAAGTTTATTTGTAAGAGAATAACTATTGTCTAGTTTCAATGAACAAAATCAATAGTCAAGTTACTTACAATAACCTAGTAATGTGATGTCAAGTTTCAATTAAGAACATGACCCATAGGCTTCTTATGCAAACAACTATTTCAATGTTTCAATTTGGAATGTCACAATTACTGATTCCTCAAAGTCAAATAATCTAGCATCAAGTTTGGAATAAGATAATTTAACCAAAAGGATGGTCCAACCAGGTTGGATTGTATCATCAAGTTTGGAATGACACAAGTTTCCCAAGTAGAACCTTTGAATCAGGTTTAAGTTATCTTCATCAAGTTTGGAATGAGACAACTTACCCTTTTCAAATTAATCAGCAACTATAAACATCGATGAAACATATAAACAGTGCTTATCATTTTGGCCAACAAAAGAAAGATTCGATAATTCAAAACACACAATTAAAAGGTAAGTAAATGGTAATTAAGACTTATCTATATAGTCTTTAACCTTATTTCCCCCACTGTTTTGAATAATCGATCTTTAGGCATATCTTTTGTGAGAGCATTAGCCAAGTTATCCTTCGATCCCACATCGATCAAGGTGATAACTCCTTATTTTTTCAGATAATTCAACAACGCATGTCTCAATCTTATATGTCTTCTCTTTGAATTAAAGAGAGCATTTTTTTAACAACTTGGACAGCTGCTTGATTATCACAAAACAGGCTTAAAGAATTAATCTTTAGCCGAGTCAAAGGAATATCCATAATCGGATTCTTCATCCACTTTGCCTCTTCGCCGGCTGAGGCTAGGGCAAAAAGTTCTTATTCCATAGACGACAATGCAATACAAGTATGTCTTTTGGATTTCCAAGTAATAGCAGCTCCACCCAAAGTGAATGCATATCCACTGATGAACTTACT